ACAAGGCCAGCTATTGTAAACTTGCCTATTATTGCACAGGCCAAGATTCGTGGGCAACTTTAGCCAAATTAGGATAGCAGTTGTTTCAGAGAACTCCCAAGCTGCGACTCCTAGAACAAAGAGACAAGCAGGAGTTTTGTTGGGTTTTTCTGGGGGAGGCTAACATCCGGCAGTTCCCTTCAGCCAAGGGGCAGCTCCAACTGGTGCTGCTTCTGGCGATGGACTTGGACCACAGGCAGGTGGTCATGGTCAACCTCTCCGAGAAGCCGTGGGTTGTCATGCATTTGGCACCATCACCCTGTGCGTAATGTCACAGCCTGGTACAGTAATGCCTCAACTCACAAGCACTCCTGTTGGCAGAGGGCTGAGGCCCACTAACAGGAGTTCTGCACAGTTTTGCCTTGTTGGCAAACTCCACACTGGGTGATGAACACGACAGCAGCCATCTTCCCCACGTGAACTCGAGCACAACCGTCTTCTCTAGAGGTGTACTCAGTACAAAGAACTGTGCCTAACAGGAACTGCTGAGTCACAGTCAGCAACTACCAGTGCCACCAACCTGCCTAAATGTCCTGACCTTGTGATAGGGCTAAAAGACTTTTAGAGCATGCATTACTAAAAAAGCACAAGGGTGGCAAAGAAGAAACACTCCAGCTCCAACAAGACGTAGGCCAAGCTAAAGCTGCATCATAGGCTTGGCCTCAACATGGTTTTTTTTTTTTTTTTCAGTGATCAACATGTCCACACGCAGAGCTCAGTAGAATTCGATTCAAGGGTAAAGACAGCAAAAGAGACAGATGATTTGAAGACAGGCCAAGATGCCAGGCCTTTTATCCCATTGCTCTCTCCCCTCAGACAATGTAGACCTTAGAGAACAAGCAACACTCTCAGCAAAGCTTCCTGAGGTTCGGGGAAGCTACTGCGGCAACGGCTTTCCCAACCTTGAGGTAAAACTCATCTATAACCGTGCTCGTGGGAACTAATGATGTATTGCCTAGCTGTGTGACCTCCGAAATTAGTGAACTTAGGCTAACAAAGAGCGAGTGAAACTGGAGGGCTTATTTAGCTGTTTTTCTTGGTAAGATTATCTCATTTTGTGCAAACATTTTGCTTATATGGCATTGGGAAGGTCTCAGAGTGGGTCTGTTGAAAAATGGCAACACATTTGCTGTCTCCTAGGACTTATGTTGTCATCCCAGCCTCCCACTCCATCCGTGTCCCACCGTGGTCACCATGACCACCATGGTCATCCCTAAATAGCTCAGTGTCACAGTCTGCTTATTCCTTTTCCCATTGCCAGACCCCTGGGCCAGGTCTGAGCTATAAGTAATGGCGCTGTGGCCACTGATGCACCAGTTTTGTGGACGTGTGTGCTTGCTCCTGGGTACACTTCTGGGAGTGGAGCCATCAAGCCACACACCAAGTGCATGCTCAAGTTGCTAAAATCTGCCAGTGCACGCCTGCAAAATGCTTGGACCAGTTGCCATTTATTTCAACAAGATGTGAGAGTTCTGGTTATTTCCCACCCTTGCCAATGAGTGTCGTCGTCCATCTCTTCAATTTTAGCTGTTCTAGTGGTTGTGCCGAGCTATCAATTGTGGCTTCAATTTGCATTTACCTAGTGATGGAGGATTTTGAGCAGTTTTCACCTCCTTAGAAGCCCAATTGCATGTCTTCTTCTTTGAAGCTTCTGTTCAAATCTTAGGAGTCCCTACTTTTTGAATGATTTGCTGGTTCTCTATTAGAGCTATGTTTTATGACTATTTCTCCCAGTCTGTGGGGCAGAAGCTTTAAATGTTGACGCAGACCCAGTAGATCTGTTTTGTTTTGGCTTTTTCTTATAGTTGATTCTATATTTGGCTTGATACTTGTGCCTCTGGGTTGGGAGGGAGAACTGGAGTCCTGCACACACTGAGGTGGACAGAATAGCCAGAGGTGCGGCAGGCGGACAAAGGCAGATTCTGTTGGGGTGATGGTCAGCAGCCTTGGGTGGAGGCTTTTCAGGGCAAGGGCTCGGAAGGCAAACGCTTTGGATAGTAGGGACTGGGCTGAATTTTTTAGGATTCATTGGAGTCATTAGCTATTCTTTAGGAGCCTTTTAGAGTGGGGAACGGGCAAAATCACAAGAGAATGCGGCAGCACAGTCCCCGTGATTCACAGTGGCGCCTGAGCAGAGTTTCCACTTGGTCACCTGGGCAGGAGCAGCTCTGTGCGAGCACAGAGAAGAAACAAATCCTCCTGTGTGTTCTCAGAGACTCTAGTGGCCCCAGCAGATCTTCAGCAGCTCACTTCTGGGCCAGAAAGGCCGAGGGCTGGGCGAGGGCGGCAATGAACCAGAGCCAGACACCCAGCCCTCCCCTCCACCCTGGGGAAGTTTCTTGTCTACACAGAGTGCGAGTCAGACCCCCACCCCCACCCGGGAGCAGGAACCCCAGGCTTTGGAGCTTGCTTTTCTTTCCCCTGGGGTGTCTCTTCATCTCTTTGTGATTCCTGCATCCAGGGGTTTAGTCCAAAGTCTATTGAGGGGCACTGGATTCCCTGGTCTCATGATTTGGAATTTCCAGCGGCCCCTCCCTGTGCATCTTGCAGTACCACCGTGGAACACACTCGGGCTGCGCGTTCACCAGGACTGCCTGTCCTGTCCCCTGGAGTGTAAATATAAGTATCGTGGAGGTGTGGGATCTGTCTCTCTGTCTCTATCTTGTTCTCTGTCTGGTTCTCTCCTCTCACTTTCTGTTTTGCCATTTTGTTCTTACCTCTAACCCATGCCTTGAACATCTGCCACTTGAAGGTCCTCAAAAATATTCAGGGCATGAGTGAACGAGAGGTCATCTGCCTCCTTTTCTAGAATCTGCCTGATGGTGGCCCTCTGGTTCTGTAGGAGAAAATGGGATCCGTTCAAGGCCTACTGAGGCTCACCCAGCGAGTGGAGAAATCCTCCTACCCCTGTGTGCAGATGAGGAGACGGAGGCCCCGAGTGGGAAGGACTTAGCCAAAGTCTCTCACACGGACAGCAGCAGAGGACACGGGAGCCCATGGCACTCGCTCCCAGCTGCAAAGCAGAGCCCTGACGGGGTCCCCAGGGCAGGCCCCAATCCAGCACTGTGTTCCAGGGTGGTTCTAACAGGTCTCTTGGTGCCGGGGAATAAACACTGTTGTGTTTCCCAGTGGAGGTGGAGGAACCTGTGGGCCCCAGGGTGCTTCTTTGCTGGACAGCTGTGGCCTTCACCCTCTCACCTTCCTTTGGAGAGGAGACGGTGAGACTTGGAAGTGGTCAGTGTCCTCCAGGCTCCAAATGAGTCTGTTTGCCCTGTGCATGGCCTTTTTCACCCGTAGTGCAGCCCCCCCTTCTGCCTCACCCAGCCCTGATACCTGCCATTTCCTGCACAGATCTCATTTTGCCGGGGACCCAGCTCTTCCTTTTGCACGGCCTACAGACTGTGGACCCTCTGCTCCCTGGGAGGGGAGCAGAGATGGGAGTTTTATCAGGCTTTGGACAGCTTGGCCTGAAGATCAAACGTTCCCTCCTCCTGCCACACCTTCCTGCCTTCCCCCTGCAAACCCAGTGAAGTGAGAACTTGCTAGCCCTCTCTCCCTTGTGAAGAATACAGTCCCCGTGTCCTGATGTTTGAGTCCGGCCCTCTGTGTCCTCCAGGAGCGTTCCTCTGTCTCATGTCTTACAGCAGCCCTGCACGTGACTGGTTTTGTCTAATTAGTCCCCAGCTCTGCAGACACCACTGTGAGAGACCTAGTTCTCAGGTAGACCACTACCACCAGAACTCTCAGCCCACTCACCTCCAGGGGCCAAGGAATTAATGTGGCTACTTCCTTTCTAGAAAAACTAGCTTGTGTGAGCTGAGGCTGGGGATATAAGGCTGTTGGGGTGGGTCCCCCAGCTAGAGTGATGGACAATAGGCTGAGTCCCTGAGCCCTCAAATTGGTTTCACTATTTCTTGAGTCTGTGATTTTCCTGCTAGCTCCACTCTGACGTGTTAACAAATCATCTTGGGGTGGAGAGTGTTGACTAGGAAGGGGCATAAAGGAACCTTCTAGAAAGAATGCTCTGCATCGGTGCTGTTCGACAGAAACCTGGCACATAACGTGAGCCCCATGGTAGTTAAAGTGGCCGTATAGTAAAATGAAACTGATTTCAACAACATTTTACCTAACCCACATATCTAAAATATTATTTCAACATGTAATCAATGTAAAACACTATTAATGAGCTCTTTGATACTCTTCATTATAAATTCTCAAAATCTTATATTTTGTAGTACATCTCACTTTGAATCAGCCACACTTAAAATTAGGTAACCACCTGTGAGTGGCCCTGGCCATGACAGTGCAGGCCTGTCTTGATCTGGGTAGCAGTTACACGTGTAAATGTGCAAAACCAGGACTTGCTATACAACAGAAATTTGTGCCCGTAAGTTATTCTTCAATTAAAAGTATTTTAAATCTTCTTCAGGGATCTATTCAAATTCTACTTGTGCTGTTCTGAGCCTACCTTAGTTGAGAATAGCAGCAAGTGTTATACTGTGTCCTGTTATATTAATTCCCTCTTTGTCTATAGCCTGCTGATTGTGTGTATTTCTCATTGACTTTTTAAAATTTTTTATTTGATCTATGGATGGATGAATTAAGGACTGGGGATTGAACCAAGGACCTTTGCACTGACCTACATCTCCAAGCCTTTTAAAAAGTATTTCTATTTTGAGACAGGATCTTGCTAAGTTACCCAGGATGGAAGATGGGCTCAAACTTGTGATCCTCTTGTCTCAGCTCACCAAAGTGCTGAGATTACAGGGATCCAACACTAGGCCTGGCTTCACCTGCTTTATTAGAAGCACCTGAGGGTGGAAACCCTTGGTCTGTTCATTGTGTAACTTCCCATCCCACCTCCCACAGATGCTCAGTAAGCACAGCCCAATTGAGTCCCCACTGGCACACCTCTCTGGGTCAGCTGCAGGACAGGCTGCTCATTTCATTTTGTTTTTCAGTCCTGTTCCAGATGTTGGCAAAGGAGAAGGAGAGGAAGAGGAGGAAGAGGACGGCATGGGGCTGCGTCTGACTACCACTTCCAAGAACTGCCTTCCTCGCCGGGGCATCAGTATCCTGGAGAAGCTGATCAAGACGTGCCCTGTGTGGCTGCAGCTGGGCCTGAGCCAGGCAGAAGTGACCCGGATCCTACATCAGGAGGTTGCCGGGGTGAGTCAGCAATAGCAGACATAGCTCACAGAGCTCAGGGAGCATTTTGGGGGTAGCAGCTGCCCCCCAAGAATTGCCTGTGTGCTTTCTTTTCTGGTCTTTACCTATTTTCATCTACAGTGTTTCTCCATATGGGAAGACCACCTTCTGCTCTGGGGAGCAGGGAGTGAGGGGCAGGTGGGCCTTGCTGGACATTGAGATTGGAAGGGCAGGATGGTGGGGTCTGGAAGCCACGCTGGCCTCTGACCCTGAAAGCTCAGCCAGGAAGCTGGGAACCAGAGCGCCAGGATGAGAATGGTTTCAGACTCTCTTATTTTACAGATGAAAGGAAGAGAACTAAGCGTGATGGTCAGATGTTTTGGAGTCAGGTTGTATGACCTGGGCTAACAGTTTAAGTTTTCTGAGCCTCTCGTTTTGTCATTTTGAAATGAGGAATTAACACTCCCTCCCAGGGGTTCTGTTCCTACTACATGGGAAGAGAGATAGATGATGACTGGATGGATGAATAATAGATGATGGATGATGTTGATGGATGATTAACAGATGGATGAATAATAGATGATGGATGACAGACAGTGGAAGATGGGAGATAAATGTATGATGGACAAGAGGTGATAGATGAATGAGGCACGGATGATAGATAATGAGTGATGGATGATAGGTGGATGATGGACAATGAGTGATGGATGATCAGTAGATGATGAGTGGATGATGGATGGCCAATGGATGATTGGTAGTGCATGATGGATGATTGGTAGTGCATGATGGATGATGGACAGTGGATGATGGACAGTTGTCCTGATTACTTTTCTCTTGTTGCTGACACAAAATACCCAATACCCTAAATTATGGAAGGAAAGGCTTATTTAGCTCACAGTCTTTGGAGTTTTCAGTACATAATCAGTTGGCTCCAAGGCAGGGTAGCAGGGCGTAGGAGTAACAGTTCAGAGTGACAGAAGACAGCCAAGCAGTGAGAGCAAGCTTGTTTTCCTCCCTTATATGGTAAGCAGGCTACCCCTCCTCTGGGTGGATGTAGCACTCACTCTGTGTGCTCCTCTTGCACAGGCTCACGGTGTTTACAAAGTGAGGAGCCTGGATCCCTGCTGAGTCACTTAGACTTCTAACCTTCTCAAGTTGACCCAATGTATCCACCACTATAACGATGGATTATGGATGCAGGTTGATGAGTGGATGGGCAATGGATGATGGAGAGCCAATGGATGGATGAGGATGACAGACAATTAATGATGGATGACAGATGGATGAGTGGATGGTGGAAGACATATGGATGATGCATAGGTAGATGACAAGTAGATGAAATGAGTCAGAGCTCTTTATACGCTGCCTTCAATCCCACACACAGTCCTCTTCTGTGCTACTCCCTTTTTAAAAAAGTAGTACCCATATGCATTCATGATTTTTTAACAAGCTGGATAAAAATGAATAAAATTTTAAAAAGTAAATATCTCACAAAGATCTTTTCAACCTACTAAAACCCAACTCTCCCCAGAACCTCCTCTTTTTAATTGAGGTGAAATTCTTATCACATAAAATCAGCAGTTTTCAACTGTACCACTCCGTGGCACTTCGTGCATCCATGGCGTTGTCTGACCACTACCTCTACCTAATTTCCAGATGTGTTCATCACCCCCGAAGAAAACCCCACCCCTGCTATGTGGTCACTTCCTATTGCCCCTCCCTCATCGAAGCTCAGGGGCCACCAGTCTGCTTCAGAAGTCATTTTGCTAGGAGCACAAGTTATTAAAGATTGAATCCAGGGCCTTCATACTGAGCTAAATCCTCAAACTTTTTATTTTTCACTCTGAGACAGCATTTTGCTATGTCACTAAGTTGCCCTGTCTGGCCTTGAACTTGCAGCCCTGCTGCCTGAGGCTCACATAGTCCTGAGGTTACAGATGAGCACCACCATGCCTGGCTCATGTGACTCTTCGAAGTCATCTTCCACATGACCCACAGCTGTGACCACAGCGTCCCCGCCGGTCTTCCTGCACTCTCGAGTCTTTCCCTGGTGCTTCCTGGGAATAGACCCTCTGCCCCATGGTAGCTTAGGAGGGTGGTGTTGCTACTGTGACTGTCTTACAGATGCTCTGTGATTCTTCTTCAGTGAAGGAAGTGGTAAAAAAGAAAGCTGGGGGCTCTCACCAGTAGCTATCTCTAGCAGCCCCCAGGTTGACGCCCAGACAATCCTCCATTCCCATAGAACGTTCTGCAGGGTGTGCTTCCTATATTTCTTGGAAGGATACAACTCAAAAATAGGCCCATGGAGCATGTATTTTTTTCCCAAAATTTTATTGATAAACAGCAATGAGACAGTTTCAAATCAAATCGGAAGTACAGTTTCAACAAATAACACACTGCATATATTCTTCTTAGTGGTTAATTGCTGTACAAGAAGTGGACTTGAGATCCTATTTACAAACACCATTAGAACAAATCATTCTATTCATTAAGAGAATGCAACTATATATCTATCCTAACCACTTTGAATACACAG